TCCGTTTAAGTAAATTTTGTGAGACTGGGAGGACTTAAGTTGCAAGACGTAGGAGTGTGTTTTCTCTAGCAGCACAGGGCTAAGAGCATTGCACAGCTGCTCGCGGGATCCCAGGGGCAAGCTTCTCAGAGCTCTTGTTCTTGCTTTTCAGGTAACAAAGAATGAGCGTCAGGTTATGAAGCCACTGTATGACAGGTACCGGCTGGTTAAACAGATCCTGTCCCGAGCCAACACCATCCCCATCATGGTGAGTAAAGTGCCTTTCTGTTGCTGATAGAAACCCTTTCTGCTTGAATGGGCCCTGGACAGATTAATAGGACCCTAACCTGCTTTCTCATTGAAGAATGGGCTTTACCAGCCGAATCAGTCATTAATACTCGTGACCTACCAGCTGAAGAATGAAAATCTTACCAAAGACTTGTCAAAAATGAGCAAATCTAAAGCTGATAGAATTGTTTTCCCTTCTGAGAGACATGCTTTGGCCATATCCATCTGATATGTGCTGGCCTGGGACAGGGACCCCGGAGGACAAGGGTCCTGCTCTCTCCAGGCCTCTTCAGTCCAGAGAGCAGCCCTCTGGTCCCAAGGGCCTCTGTTAGTATCTCCCCATCTGAGCAAGGGTAACTCCCTCAGGAGTCATATCTAGGGAGAAATCCTCTAGGGAACTCAAGGCTCAGGCCCCTCTTCTTGGAGGGTGTGGGAAGGTCTAGGGAGGGAGGCTGATAACTGAACAGTTGCTCTCGGTGGCCACCATCCTCAGACTTAGCTGCTTTTGGCCTCTGGAACTGGACTTTGTCAAGAGCAAGGAACAGCCACTTGCCTTCAGCTGTGGGAAAGCCTTTTGGCCCCGCCACCTGTTCTCCCTTTCCCAGTCTCGGCATTTCTGCCCAGCTTGCGAGTGGGTGGTAATGCCCCGGCCATCTGTTGGGGAGGCATTTGCCTCTGTTCCAGGGCCCTCATCTCTGCTGGTCTGAGGCTTTTTCACAAGTAGACACAGCCTGCCTTAGACATTGCTGTTGAAATACACATTCGCTTCAGCTGCAGCTCCTATCTGGCCCCACCTGAAATCTCGCTTGTTTCTAGGCCTACCTAGGATATGGCCTTTCTATTTCTTTAACAGTGTACTCATTTTTATGAAGAAGGGAGGATCCATAACATTAGGCAGGTATATTTGAAGAAACCTACTCTTCTGGAAGTTTCCTCCAGAATAAATTGAACTAACAAATAAAGGAATTAAATGAAAGGAATTCCTTTCATTCTCTAATTCAGAACCCTTAGAGTCCCTACATGGGGTAGAGGTGCTCAGGGGGTGCAGACGACCTCTGTGCTGCGTTGGAGTTATTCTCCTCAACTGATTTCAACTAATGGCCCCTGCAGTGACCACGCCTGGGAGGGAGGAGGCAGCATTTCTCCTCGCAAGTGTTTGGTCACAGTACTCATGTGCTGTCCCTGCTCTGCGTGTCCCCTTGACTTGTGTGTGCGGGCTCTAAGGGAGGCAGTGACTCTGAGAAGAACCGTGCTTTAAGCTTCCCTGGGAGTGTTGGCGGGAGGGGCTGGAATATGTGGTTAAATGACAGCAGTAAACGCTGATGAGGCCGGAGGAGCCGAGAGCTGGAGGGAAAGAGCAAGTTTCCAAATGTAACCTCCTTGTTAACACCTGTCGCAGGGTTCCCCCTCCAGCAAGCGGAGAAGCCCTTTGCTGCAGCCAATTATCGAGGGTGAAACTGCTTCCTTCTTCAAGGAGATAAAGGTGAAGACCTCCCGCTGGTGACTGGTCCCTAAACCTGAGTCACTCGCCTGTCTCCCCCTCCCTCCTGCAAATACAGAGGGGTTGTGTGATTGGGCCCTGGGCTTCTCCTGGCATCCCCTAAAAATCAGTAGCTGCATATAACCAACTTTGTGCAACCCCCTTTTATTTATATTATACACTAGCAGGATGCCTTGGTTTCATTTCATTTCCCTCTTTTTTGTTGTTGTTCGTTTTGCTTCTTGTCATTTGTTTTGTTTTTACTTTCTTTGCAGGGACTGTTATTTTGCTTGATTTTGTTTCCCAC